TGTTTATCTCAGTCTGATAATTATATTCTTTATTATCGTTTCTACCAGTGTGCCTGGTACTGAAGTTATGGTTACTGGCCTGTAACTGTTTCTGGAGCCTTTTTAAGAATTTGGTGTTTTACTAGCTACATTCTAGTCATTTGGTAGAAACTGATTCCAGCAATAGGTTACATACTACAGTTCTGCAATTTCATATTTGACCCCTTCAAACTTTGATTGCCATCTGGGCTTTGTGACTTCGTAGTGTTTTATTAGTGTGCTGAAACTGCCTCTGTTGACAATACTTCGGATTAGTCACCCAGCTTCTGCTACAAAGACCCATTTAAATTCTCTGCAACTGCCTTGTATTCCTTGAGTGCTTCTTTAACACCTAGGTTGATGAGTGGCCCCACTGCCTGTCTGACATGCTTCCTGCTTCTGGTGTACCTAAGAAAATTCGTGAGAGCTTTTGTCTTTAGCAAGCCACTTCTCAAATTCTTTCCTGGGCTGTCTCATTACACTTGTACATTTTACTTGTCAGAGTTTGTGCACCTTATTTCCCTCATTAGAATTTGACTTCCAATTTTTAAAGGGTGCCTTTTCCCCTCCAATATTCTGCTGCTTAGTCACGGTGGCATTCTTTTGGTCCTCTGATTGTCTCTCTTGGTTTGGGGTATATCAATAGTCTGCCTCTCTGTTATGGTGTATTTAAATAGCCTCTATGCTGGCTGGGACTGTTCTTTTTAATTTAAGCCTAACAAACATCCTCATTATGTAGTGTCCCTTTTTAAAGTTAAATGTAATCTTGGTGGGGTGTTCTTTTTTGGTACAGGTTGGACCTCCAAGTCCGGCACCCACAGGACCTGATTGGTCCCAAATGAGGGAGTTTAGGACTAGAGAAGGTCAAGGTTCCGCTGCTGTTGCCCCCTGCGGTTCTCTGGTCCAGAAACGATGTTGTCAGATCACAGGGTCTTGGTTTAAAGAGGTTGAATCTGTATTTTCCCCATATAAGGATGTTACATTTTAATTACATTGTAGTCACTGTTACGGAGCTGTTCAGTGATACCAGTTGAACCTTTCCAATCCAGAACTCTCTTGTCCAGAAACATCCGTTGTCCAAAATTGTTAGTTAGCCGGATGTCCACTTTTCATGGGTGTGGCCAAGATTTCCCACAGGCTCATAAAGTTTGTTTACAGCCATCAGTCCTGGCTCTCAATGTTCTGTGCTGTTATTTAGCTCTAATTTACCCCTAACTAACAGCACAATAAGCAGTGGAAGTGTTGGTAATGCTGTTAGACAATATTGACCTTTCGTGGTCCAGAAAATTCTCTCATTTGGAACCAGTCAGGTCCCAAGGGTTTCAGACTAGAGAGGTTCAACCTGTAGTTACCTCTGGGACAACATCCTCTGTTCCACTTATGAGTAAATCAAGTATTGCCTCTTCCCTTGTGGGTTACAACAGCTGCACTAGGAAACAGGGTCGTCTCTGCATGCTCATCCTGAGGTGACATGTACCCAATCCATGAGAATACAGGCAGTCCCCGGGTTACGTACAAGATAGGGACTGTAGGTTTGTTCTTAAGTTGAATCTGTATGTAAGTCAGAACTGGCATCAGCCGCTGCTGAAACTGATCAGTTTCAACAGCTGCTGAATCTGGACACCAGTTCCACTTACATACAGATTCAAGGTAAGAACACCAGGCATCCCCAAGTCAGCTGCTGCTGAAACTGATCAGCAACTGATTCCAGGAAGCCCAGGGCAGAGCAACCCTGCCTCGGGCTTCCTGTAGTCAGCCGCTGGTCAGTTTCAGCAGCGGTTGAATCTGGACGCCAGTTCCGACTTACATACAGATTCAACTTAAGAAC